ACTACTACTACTACTACTACTACTATCTGACAGAACCCCAAAAAACTGCGATTCTTTCCAGCAGAAGCGTGTAGGCTCCTCTTGCATACAAGGGGCAACCATGCCGAATTGGAAAAAGGACTTGCCACATCTTGCTTCATGAAGCTAGAACAAGTGACATCGAGTTCGGGCGCTTAACCCCCATCGAGTTCGGGGCACCGGACTTCACCCGACTCACTAAGTTCATGGCTTCGTGGATGGCACCCACCGGTGTTTTTAGCAGGCTGATCAGAAATAACTTTTCTCAGAAGGGAATCCTGCACCACCTAGACAAAGGTTGGATACATCAATACATCCCATGATGCACAAGGCTTCAGCATGTCTCAACCCAGGATGCCACTGGCATCACTGCCTTCCACCCTCGCCACGCCCACACCTCGGTCTCTGCGTCACACGGCGCTCACCCGGGTCGAGAGTTGCCGCTCCGTGCGTTGCAGCTGGCGCTGCAGCGCCGAGTGCCGCTGACGCCAGGTGCTCTCTGACCTGGGTCGGAGGTGTCGTGAGCCAAGGGGGGAACACTCAGAGTCAGCCCCCACCGGAGGGGCAAAGTCTTCAAGTCCTGGCACTTGAAAAGCCTTTCGGTTTATGGCTCTGGGTGAACGACTTTCCTCACAACTTGATCCCAATGGAAACCACCATGATTAGAAGCAGGTTGGTCCGGGAAAACGCAGGATTCTGTTCTCAATCTTAGACCTTTCATCGAAACTTCATGGGTACCATCTCGATGTACGGAATAACACATACGTCACGTCACCTTAAGATAGAGCTCCATTCAAACCTTTCTTACCCACACCCCAGTGCAGTAAGTGCTGAAGTCGAAAAATGGACGACGTCTTTTCTGTCCGGCCGTCTGGGAGCAGTGTAAAGAAACCGGCAGATCTCCACATCCAAACAGAGTGATTCGTTTGGTCCGATCCGATTCCCCGTGTTGCGACCATTCTCTCCGATTCCATCTGCCAAACAGGGTTCCGACCTGGTGCCCATGGGTGCCCTTCTGCATGTTCTTCTGAGAACGGAGAGAATGGGCCTCCAGAAATCGCGCAACTATTGGCTGAGCGGCTCCTCCAGCTGTCGGTAGGACTCTTCCAGCTTGGCCTCGGAGCTTCTCAAGGACTCCTGCGATCTGCGTGAGTTTCAGCCGCTGAAAGTGGCGTAAGACGTCCCCTGTCTTCATGGTGCTTTCATGTTGGTGTTGGGTTGTTGTCGAAAAAAATTACGCTGCTGCATAAATGACATCGTTACACGTCCATGGGGACTGGTTGTTGAAGCTGTGAAATCAGCAGGGACAGTGACCCAGTGACCCTGACTGCCTCGTCTCATGAGTACATCATAGTCCATCTGTGTCTCATGAGTCCATCGTGAGCTTCCTCTGGGTGTGAGCGTGTTTCAGCTCTCTCCCTCTCTCCAGCCCAATTTGACGAGCTGAGAGATGGCTGGCAACATGAAACGGCAGAAGCCAAACACCACGGATGGGACTGGAATTCGTGCTTACATCGACGCCTGAACCAACCACAAGGTGGTCAATGTACTCATGAAGTGGCAAATGAATGGATGAATCATGATGAAGTATGATGAAGTGTCCTTTGACCATCAAGGACTTGATTCATTGACCATCGTGTTTGCTCTCCAAACGTCCATGACCCACCGTCCTGGAGTAGTGCCAAGTCAGCTTCCAGCACTCGCAACCGCCGGGCAGCCGCGTCACCTGGGCACATCAGTTCTCAAGGGTTGAGCACATGAGTCCCTGGGCAAATACATGCTCTTCTTTTTGCAAAGTCTTATATAATTAACTAGTAAACCCTACCAATTGAATTGGACATCCTCTTCATATGGGAGGGTAGATTCATCAAGAGTCTGCCTTGATGGGTTGGGTTTGTCAAGCACAAGAACCTTCCGCAAACCATGAGTCTACACTTCATCCACTTCATCCACTTCATCCACTTCACCCTACACACGGGTGGCTCGGAGCGGGCTCTGGAGGAGGTGGACCACTGGATGGATGTCCTTCACAAAATATTCAGTGCAAACGCTCTGTTTTCGAAGAGCCCCAAGCCTCGGATTGATGATGTGCTTCGCTCATTCTGCTGGACGGAGTAACCGTTGGACCGTTGTGCTCCGGTTGGCCATTGAAAAAGGGGAATATGATTTACAGTAGCTGATATCGCGGGGGCCGACCAAGATGAAGACGATGTTTATGTGACTGCAACACAGTTCCAAGTTTGTTCGTCACCGTGAGGATGGGAATCCATCGAAGTCGTGTTGAGCCATGGGCGCCATGGGCGTGGATCTGATGAAAAGGCTTGGGAAACTCTAAGCCACCCATGAGCCGAGCCGTAGAAGCATTGGAGGAAACACCCTGAAGAGGATGGATGAAGGGACACTGGAAGTCAGATTGTAGTGATGACGTCATTGGGGGGTTCAAAGTATCGGCAGGAATGTCATCGCACATGAGCGTTGTTCAAAACCTGTCTTTGAAGCGCAGTATCGTAAGGAGGTGCTTACGCACACGCTTGCGCTTTGCTTACGCGACTCGCGTTTCAGCTTACGCGCCATGCAGGGGACATGAAGCGCTTACGCGGAGCTTACGCAAACAGATACGGCCAAACTTTCTCCACCACACCACAACATGAGCTTACGCACTTGGTGTTTTACATCTTTTTGCTTGGCGTCAACATCAAAGTCAAGCTTACGCACTTTGCTTAGGCAAATGCTACAGCCAAAAAATGCTTACGCAACCTTACGCAATTCAGGTTTTTGCTTACGCACAGTCTCCTTATGAGCATGTCCTTTCTAAATATGAACACCTAGGTTTTGAACGATGCTCACATGGAGGTCATGCGCGCCCGATCTCCCAGAACTGGAGGAACACCAGACTTTAACATTGCAAGCTCTTGGATTTGAGAAGGAACTGGTGAAAACATGTTCCCCACCCTAGGAATCCTTGGACCTTCCATAACAGGGAACAGATCCGCCCTAGGGGTCTGGGCCTTCAAAACCCGTTGCATTTGAGGGTCTTGATTTTAGGGCAGAAGGGGATTCACCCATGGGGAAAATCCAATCTCCAGACCGGCAAAACCAGATTTATCAATGTTCACCCACCGCCCACATCTCTCAAGACACTTCCTCTTTTCGCCCTTAGATGAATCGCAATTCATTATCAAAGATATTTAAAGATCAATCTTCTGCCAGCCAAACATCGCAGAACCTATTGCTTCCAATGTCCATCCACCCATCCTTAAGAGTCTCATCCCAAGTGGCGTTCGGCCTCCGCTCGCTCCACCTGCCGCTGCAGCTCCTCCTCCCGCCGCTGTTGCCGCTGCTGACGCTCCTCGCGCTCGTCCAGGATGAAGCTCAAACCACTCAGCTCAGGCGCACGCGGCGGACTCGGCGAGGCGAGGCCTGGCGGACTCGCCCCGCGGCACTCGGCACTCGGCGTGACTGAGTACACACCCCAGTTCAAGGTCGGGATATGTCGGGGGTGGAAGAGGGCAGCAAACAATGTACAGCAAGCACTGTGAGGGGGTGGTGAGATTGTTTTGGTTTCATTTTTAGGTTGGTGAGTTCTGGGACATACCGTATACCATCCTGTCTGGGTCACCTGGCTGGACTACCCTACTATAGGGCCTACACAATCTGAGATGTCCAGTGGACACCCATTGGAACCCAACCGGCTTCGGACTCCGAACAACGCAGTCGCTGGACTCCAGAAGGGCTTTGGGGTTCGGGGGGGGAGGTCCTGCTCCCTGTTTCACAGGGAATGCAATGGATCGCCTCATCTGAGCCGGAAAAGGGCTCCGAGAAACGCTTCGCGGGTTCTTCGCTCGTTCCGTCGGAAGCCCTCCAGGTCTCGCCTGCCGGTAAGGGCCCCGAGCCCGGTGGGCTCGCGCCACGGGGCCTCCGCGAGGTCGAGCGTTCGCGCCACGGGGCATCCGCTGCGTCCAGACCCTGACAGACAACGGCACTCCGGATCCGTGCTGATTTCCGTGGAGCAGGTGCTAAGGTTTGAAATCACTGAAGCCAAAGAAAACATGATGAACAATGATCGAGGTCGGATGCCCCCGACCGTGAGGTCGGATGCCTCCAATTGCCGGCTCAGCAGCTCTAAACGCTCTTCCAGTAGATCCAAACGCTCGCGCATCTCCAAACATCGTCGTTCCAGGAGCACCTGTTCACCTTAGCCGCGTGTGGTTGTTCTTCAACCGGTTCACTTCCAAAGTCACCCGGAGGTGATTTGCTTAAGTCATGGTTTCGAGGTGAAGCAACGATGAACCGTTCGAGTGGTCCAAACCCTTCTGGTCCATCCCCGAAAAGGGCCTTCCGATCGGTCGTCGAGTGCCCGAGGGAATTCCAGTCACCCTTTGGCGAGTGCTCCATGAAGCTACGAGATCTGGGCCACGTTAATGGCGCATCCACCGAAAACCCGGTCAAAGCATCTCCCCGTGAGGTCCTGGTGGTCCGAGGACCCCGAGGAGGTCCTGTTGCCTTCAGAGGTCTGTGTAGATGTTTGGCCCTCCTTCTGGTGCACCTCAAAAAAGGCCAAGACAGAGAAACCTTTCAGGATCTCAATTGATCTCTTCACTTTAGAGGTTGAAGATGGAACTATAAGGATCTGAGATATGACTTCCACACCCAGCTGAGTTGTGTTTCAGCTTTCACCTCAGGGTTTTCTCGAGATGCCACGGCTGCCACTCCGCATGAAACCGCTAACCGGACAAGGCACGGATGGCCTGAGGCAGAGGCAGACGCAGGCTCACTCCGCTTGCTCTCCGGGAGAAATACAGTACTGTACACACAGTACACACAGTACCGTGTGCAGGTAACCGTTGTGAAAAGTGACATCGAAGCTCTTTTTCTCTCATTGTTTTTCTGACATCCAGTGATTGTTGGTGGACTGGACAAGCATCATGGGTGAAGGTGGAGAGGACTGGAGTCCTAGCGCTGCTATGCGCTGCTGATCTGCTGGATCTCCAGCGTGGGTCCCCCAAAGCTCAGTGGAAAGAGACCTGTCTTTCGTTGTGTTCTAGTTACATGCATGTCATGTCCGTCTGCAGGGAAAAAAGTGTTCATTGAATGGCTCACATCAATGGATGACAGGCCACGACAAGCAGTTGAGCAGTTTCCCATAGATTCCCATTTGCATCCATTTGCCTAGAGGTGTTCTGTTATGTTCTGTTGGAAGGAGAGTTTGAGAGATGATATTGGGATGGCTGAGGCAGTACTTGAGGCTTTGGATTTAGTTGTTGGTCATTGATTTCCAATCAGCCTAAAATCCACCCAACATGGGTCAATCGAAACTTTGAAAATTCATGAAAATTCACAAAAAAACAACTGTCAAAAGGAACAACTCATCATCAAAAGCTTAAATTCTTGTTCTCTTAGCCCTCCCAAGCTGTGCCACTGTTCTTCCCTTCTCGCCATCTTCAGCCTCCTTTGCCGCTTCTTCTGAGATCGGCGGCGGCGGCATCGGCGCGGAGGCCGGTGGAGCGGGTGCAGGCGGGAGGGGCTCTGCTGGCCTCTTGCAGCATTTACGCGCTTCCACCTGCATTTGCATGTCATCGCGCGGACCAGTCGCGCGGAACACACCCTGCGAGTTCCGGTGGAAACGGGGTGGATTTGCGTCAACCAGTTGTAGTTGCAGTCTGCACGTGGTTGGACCAGGAGAGTGCATTTGTATCTCGTATCACCACTGTGCGTTCTTTCCCCAAAGCAAGGCGGATGTGGGCAGCCAAAATCCTTACAATGTTTGGAGCTTCCTTTGATTCAAACAAGTTGAGATCAGATGATCAGATCGCCAACCTCAGGCACTGCCCCAACCCGTCTTCCCGGAGTCTTCCAGCCCTTCACCCTTCAGCGGCCTCCACGCAGCGCTTTTGCACTGCCAAGGTCCACAAGGCATCTCGCCAGGCATCTTCCCAAGCGGGTGAGCCCCGCATCCCTCTGCGGCACGCCTCGAACGCACCACACGAGAGCGCGGCGTTCACCGGGGCAAACCTCTAAGCATCTGAAGCGCTGGAATTGTCAGCGTAAGTCAAAGCATTTGGCGAGATCACATTCATGGGACACTTAGCCAGTTTTTATGGCCGAAAAACGGCAGCAACTAATGCTGGATCAGGCCACACAGGCTCTCGACTGTGTGGGGGGGGCAAAAACCACGGGTATAGTTTACTGCCAATCTAAAAACAGGAATATCCCCTCAATCCTCACCAACAGGAGTCTCGATGGGAAGTAAGCGATCTCCTGCACAGTGTGCTTCCAAAGGAATGAAACAAATAAGAGCAGTTACAGTAATGAGCTAATGAAAAAACAGCATCTGCCCTGACTTTATTCCAACCAACCATCTTTGAAACGAAACCAGTTACAAAAAAGTCAAAAGGTGCAAACGTTGCTTCAAGCCTCCCTAAAACGGACACCCGCACCCCGACCACCGGCTCGGCCTCCGTCTCCGCCTGGCGCACCACCTGCACCGCCCAGCGCTGCGCCTGGCAGCGGATACGGAGCGGTCGAACAGTCGAACGGTCAGGGATCCGCACGTCCACTGGAGCTGTGCAATTCGGAGAGTCTATTGGTGGTAGTCTTACAGAGACGCATCAAGACCGTACTGCGCGAGGGAAGGTAACGTATAGATTCACGGATAAGCTCATGCATAGGACGAACCACAGAAGCCTGGGTCAAGTATCGTGGCTCAGGAGGTGGTTGGAGCTCTATGGCCCTATGGGTAGTTCGACGTAGTTCGCCCATGAATTCATTCCCGAGGTTCTTTGAACAAAGCTGGAAATCCTGGGAAGTACTTTGCAAGGCCAGCGACCCTCACCAGTACTGGCACTTTTGATCGCTTTGAATCTTGGGCCGACTCGGCTGTCTCCCAGAACCTCCCCCACTTCACCTTGCTCAGCCAGTCCGGAATAGGAAAGTAAGAATCATCTTTCACTCCTCTCCAAAGGCACTAAATCTTGGAATTCCTCAACATTTGGATCACCATCAGACCCCGTACAAGACCAACCTACCCGCTTCCCCCTGGCCAGACCAAACCCCAACACTTGGCCTCCAGGACATCACCTCAGAGGTCGCAGGGAACTCCGTTCCAGACAAGACAAATGGGTCTCTTTTACGTCTTTTATATGCCGCCATTGACACCAGGTCAACCATCCCAATGTACGTATGCTACATGTGCCAGTCCCAGACAGGTCGTGTCTAAGTTGTGGTGCACCTCAGACCTGAGCGAACCTCGAGCCCCAGCGACCCGGCGACGGTCGACTGCCCAAGGTGCTGAAGCATGGCGCAGGAAGCCCTGCCGAGCGCTCGAGGTTCTGCACCTCTCGAGGCAAAAGCAGTGGTGCGTTCTTACGGGGGGCATTTTGGGGGCTTTTTCGGAAGAGTTCAAAGAAGTAAAAAAAATATCGTGTTTGTGGAGTGAATAAAAAATAACACTATAATTCGCCGCAGTTGACTCGATTGCTTCCTCTTGGGCAAAATATGTCGACTGTGAGAGTGGAGCCGACAGCCTCAGCTAAGCTTTCCGCCTCGGGCGAGAAGGGCGGCCCCAAGTCCGAAGGAAAGGTCGTCGTGCCCATGGCTCGCGAGGTCAGGTCGCATGGCACGGGTGGGGGTCGCCAGGTCGGTGGTTGAATGGCTGGAGGAGGACAGCTCTGGTTCCAAACAGCTTTGGAGCCGACGTTGGAAAGGTTTGGAGTGCCACTGTTCAGGACACCTAGCCTTTGGTCCTCCTCCGGCCCCCCCAAGAGGCCACTGCTCCGAGAGGATGTCTTCACCTGATGTTATGAGGACGACGCGGGACGCGTCTATGCGACACAATGGGCTTCACCTTCAGCCTACTTGCACGGAGAGTTGTGTCACCCAGTTCTGATTCTCCTTAGAGTTGCTAACAATGGAGGGATCACAAAAATGGCCCACTTGACACCAAGCACATCCAAGCACAGTTATATCACATCCAAGCACTGATGTTCAGCCGATTTTTTTCGGCTGATCCTTGTTCAGAGTGAAGCGACGGCGATTCCATGCATGAGATGTGTTTCTTTCCTGGTGAACCGTTAAAGGAATTCCAGAGACACTCCGTTCCATCGCCTGTTTTGGGGGGTTTCGTATTGAAGGTGTCTGGGCACCCGAAGGGCGTTTCCATCACCAGGAAGCACCTCTTGGAGGGTCACGGTCAAGCACCTCTTGATCACTACTAGTTCAGACCAGGGCCTTCAAGGGGTTCTTTAATGGACACCCCGAATCACAGTTAAGGGGCTATAAATAGACATCCTCCAAGGAGGGTCCTGCGGTCTCAGAGGTCTAGCTGCTTCTGACTGGTCTTCTCTTGGTGCACCTTCTCATGCAGCCTGTAGCGGTCTGAAACAGGGCCTACCTTGGGCCAAAGCTTGGACGCAGCGGCGGCGTCCAAAGCCGGCAAGGGTAGGAACACCTTCTGATTCTCCAGGTGGAGCCCTCTTTTGAGGGAACTTCAGAAATAGGAGGTGGGAATCCTATGGCAGCAACAGTTGGAAAAAAACACAGAGAGAGAGAGAGAGAGTTGGGTTTGTTGGCGACAAAACTCAAAAGCTCTTTCATCTCTCCAGTCAGAAACAATATGCACAAAAGCGGATGCAATCAGAAGATGGCAAAACATCCTCTCACAACCCCACATGATTTTGAACAAACTCCCACCGGGTCCCACCAGCAGAAGGCCACGTTTCTCTCGCCGGCTGTGGGGGTCAGAGACCCGACCAAAAGTCACTCGCCCGCACGCGCGCGCTCGCACTCGATACAAAAGAAACGTCTCGATGTCGTCTCGAAGTACTGGAGTTCTCTTTCAAAACGGCAGTCAAACTCTTCAGGATTCAATCCCTCTGTGACAAAACGGAATAAGTAGTGCTCACCGTGGCGTCTTAGGGCCACCATCTCCAGCCGAGTCTGGTGTCTGGTGACTCCTCAAAACCGGACGCGCCAGACGAGAGTGCCCTGGAAGACTCCATTGTATTGCAGTGAGAAGCTCACTCAACAAGTGCGACCCGCATCGCGCACCCTGCGATGCGCTGTTTTCATCGGTCTGTGAAAAGTTGTGAAAATGATATCTTCCGTTCGTGATCATTTTGGAGTCCCTAAGTGACCTTTCACAGGCCCTTTTTGACCCCAGACCAGGAGATCAAGTTCGGTCACGTTGAAGAACGAGTAATAGATGCTTTTAAGAGCCTACAACCAACCTGCCTCACCCCTACCCTTTGATCCTACAACCTGCCTCAGATCACCTTTCACGGACAACCTGCTGCGGCAGCTCCAAACGGCCGCGAGATGTTTCGTGAGTCGTGCATGTGTTCGCTGCAAGGCAATGGATGGCACAAGAGAGGGCTTCAAAAGCTCGGCGAAGTCCGGACCGCTATTGTTAGGTCCAGAAAAAGATATGAAACATAGACTCATAGACTCCCTGAAACGCGGCGCTTGAAACTGAGTCGGGCCCACTGCCCCAAATGGTCCAAAATGCTGGAATGTTCAACATCTTCAATTTCCAGCACCCTTCCTTTTTCAGTATGTGAGTCTATGAAACCCGACCTCCAGTCAGAGAAGACCGACCACTCAGTGTGCTGGGAGATTTCTCCAAAATCCACCCATCACCTGAGAGCGCCGGCACTCAGCGGTTTGTCAAAGAGTACGCTTAGAAAGGCACCCCTAAGGGTTTTGAGGGTCAAAACCCCTGCTATGGGAGGGTCCATACCCTGCTGTGGAAGGTCCAAGGATTGTTGGGGACATGAACATTCACCCACCCAAGGTGCCGAGGCGTTCTGATCCTGTTTCAGATTTTGGTTGCGCACCCCATCCGAATCCAAGCTATCCAAGCTGAGAAACAAAAAGAGATTTCATTCAGTCACATTCCATGGAAGTCGAAAACCATAAGCCTTTTCCACTTCTATACATGATTATTTCACTGAGTATACAGTACTATCTTTCACCAACGTCATTTCCAAAACCACAAAAAGTCCAATTTACCCGGTATGCCCCCCTGGCACTTGTTTTCTCCACTGCCCCTGGGTGGATCGGGCGAGAGGTAGAAATCGCCGCCTTTGCCTTCTTTGACCTGGTCGAACAGACCCGCAAAACCCTGGACCCCCAACGGGTCTCTAGTCCAAAACCGCGGCCAGGCTGGGACATGACATGGAAGAAGAGTGGGGGCACGGGTGAAGCACATGAAGCTGGGTTCTTCCTTTCACCAAAAGGGTGTGGCAAATGGAATGTGGGCGAACGGAGACTGAGGGATTTGATTGGAAAAATGACCGGTTCCCCGAAAGAACGATGTTGGGGATGCCTCAGAACTCAAGACCTGAAACATTCACTGAGGCAATGTACATGTCCATCCTCAATGAACTAGAATCTAGAAGTGAAGAAGTGACAGTCACACAGGAGAACACCCGTACCACAAACCCAGCACTCCGCATGCCCTCCGCTAGTTGCCAGGTCAAAATCAAAGTATAGGTGTTCCGTTGCGGTGCCTTTAACGGGCACGATGTGCGAATGCTCTATAATTCCATGTTGCACCCATACCTGGGCACCACGACCCCGTTCGAGCTCCACCCAAACCCTCGGCTGCCCTGGGAAAAAAGAATGAAACAACGTCGAAGTGTGGGGAACGTGGCGCCTTGTCGTTGAAGTTCTTGTGAAGTCTCAACAAGTTTCTCTCCAGCATGGCGACGGTGACCTGGAAACACCACGAAACGAACCACTCCGAAACCGAACCACGATGCTTTGCTCCCGAAGTGTGGAGGTTTCAGCCAACTCCTTTTGTGGACCTCGAAACAAACGTCCAGAAGTTGGTGCGATTGAGACAGATTTCGTCTTAGAATGTCAAACATCCAGCAGCCATGGATAAGGAGTGTCCACAAATCACCAGAGACTGCCTTTACATGCTGGGACAAGTGACCAACTCCTAGATAGATAAGGATGGGGCACTCCAAGCAACCCCTACAAACAGCCCGTGTAAAATCCCAGGTCAGGTGACCAACTCAGAACCTGATGGACAATGACTTGGTTCAATCCGGATGAACTTCCTGGCTTTCCCATGCTCCGCTTTCGCGTGAAACATGCCTAACATCTTCTAGAAATGTCATTTTTTCCTTGACAAAGCCAAAGGGCGGGTGTCCAAAGACGCGGAAAAGTGATGATCTCACAGCTTGGATGGTACAGCTGGATGGTACAGCGGGTACCCATTCCATGATCTCTTGGATGGTACAGTTCGGACCCCAGGACCGCCGCGGAGCGTGACACGGTGACACCGCGGAGCTCGGGTCGTCCGCGGCTGGTCGCGGGAGCTGGCCTTGCCAACTTGGCCAACATACCTGGGATGTCCACAGGTGGTTGGAATATGTTGTACTATAGTAATGCAGTATGTTGTAGTAAGTTCTGTAGATGTTGTACAGCTTGTGGTATTGGTGGTGTAGAGTTCTTTGAGTCCGCTTCCGGCGCTTGTGGGTGCGAGAACTTTGTTGAACGTGAGACGCCCATCACGAGTGAACGCGAAAGTCCGTCAGATGCGCTTGGTTGAGAATTGAATGAGTTGGAACGGTCAGGAAAGCGTCCCACCTTGTAGTTACAGGTAAACGACCGAGAACTACCAACAAGTCGCACCTGG